GAAATAATCTGTACAACAAACCCCTATGACAAGAGTTCACCTATGTAACAAACCTGCACAGGTACCACTGAACTTAGAATAAAAGTTAAAAGAAAAGAAACTATTATATTTCAAGAGTCTTAAAAATAGCTGCAATTTCTTGAGCATTTGCTGTAAGGTAGGCACTGGACTAAATACTCTGTATTCCTTTATTCTTATAGCTCTACAATCACTCCTGTAAGGTTATCCCCATTTAGCAGCCAATGAACTGAGACCCAGAGATGTTAATGTATCCAAGACTACAGAGCCACTTGATGCCAGAGCCTCACTGTAAAGCCTGCTCTCCTAACCGTCAAACTATCAATGTTAACAAAATGCTGACATTTGGGCCAGGACAATTATTCCTTGTGCTGAACAGTCCTATCCCTTCCAAAGCACTTATCATCACTGACCCTCAGAAGTAAATACCAGTATCAGCTTCCCATTTCTTTAAAAATTAAATCTCCCTCACATATTTCCAAACTCCCTACAGAAGTGATATTCTCCATATCCCAAACATATTGAAAAACAACTGTTCAGGAAAACATTGAATTCCAGAAACTTAGGATTTAAGAGTTGTTAAGTTTCCATTAGTTGAGTTTTTACAGTTAATTTGTACAGAAAAGAATAGTAAATAAAGAGAATTAGGCATGTTGGGTTTAGTGTTTTACTTGTTGACTGTGAAGCTAATTCTCAGAAAAGCACATATTTAGCATCTACTATGTCCTAAGAAAACATGTTAGATATTTTCATGCCTATGTAAAAGGAATAGGGTGGGGGAAGGGTTGAGTGAGAAACAGAGAGAATTGTCATTTTCCTCACATTATACTTGAAGAAAATAATGTTTTGGGAACTTAATTTGCCAAGCGAGAATTTTATTTAGGATTATTTCTATCATATTATAGCTATACTATGGATACTCAGTGGAGTTGTCCTATTGATGATTGGAAATGGAATTTAGAAACATGGTAAAAAAAAAAAATAGCCAAAAAATCAGAAAGAAGGTAATGAACATGTGAAAATCAGTCACAATTAACACATTAGAGGAGTGCCTTGTAGAATAAATATTCTGATATATATTCATAAATAAATGATTTAAAGAAGGAAACAGTAGAATCAGGAGAGAGAGAGAAAGAAGATACCCAAAATGCAGCAGTATCATACAGAGAGGAAAGTGTGTTCGGAGATACTGGAGAAGCAAGGAGGGATCGTCAGCAGTGCTGAATGCCCCTGGTGGGTGAGAGTGATTGAGGACTGGAAGAAACCTTTTAGAGTTCATTAAGCCTTCTCCAAACTGAAAACCAATAAACTGAAGACATCTTCAGGGTATAACTGATTTTAAAAGTTCAGCTTTGAAAACGTGGGGGAAAGCAGTCATTTATTACAAAAACGAAAACTTTGAAGTGGTTTGAACATAAAAACAAAGTTAAGAAACTAACAGAAAAAAAAGTAAGCAGTATTCAAAAACAAGCTTCGGGGGAATTTACCAGAGTTTGAAAGTTATAAACACAGAGCGACTGGCTCGGATCCCTCTCAAGTGTGTGACAGGGCTGGAAACATCTTCTCTGAGATAAACGCCAGATCATTTATGAGAGAGAGCTTTCCCATTTTCAGACAGCTCTCCTGAGGACAGAAGGATTTGTCTGCAGCAGTGGAATTCTAGTTATATGGTAGGAAGACTCCTGCACACACCTCTTTAAATGGACTGTACCTTTGCCTTAATAGGAAAAGATCTGTTTTTCTGGAAAGACAGAGACAACTCTGAGGCAGGAAGGTCTTCCTAGTTGTGAGCACCGTATCTCCAGATGGTTTGTCCTGCCCTCAGTCTCCTGAGCCGGAGCAAAGGATGTGGCTGGGCTGGGAGGCGGGGACTGCGTCTACATGTGTGGATGTGTGTGTGTGTGGTGTGTTCTCATTTCCGCTTCCCCTTTTGAGCAGGCAACAGCAGTTGAATGAGTTCAGGGAGAAAGGCATAATCTACAACATGATACTTTCTCCCTCGCTTCACCTCTGTGCCCACACCTGTGAAGGCCTCGGCCCGGCTTCGACAACTGCTTTGCCTCAAACTCAGTTTTCTACCAGCGGACAGGTAAGTACAGCCTTTATCTCAGTTTCAAGGCTGTACTGATTTAGGGTGATGCTAAGAGAAAGAAGGAAACGTGTCAGAGAAAAATCAGGCTATCAAGATCAAGACAAGGGAAAATCAGGAGAAAATCTCCCACCGCTCTTACTTCAACCTTAAAAGCATCCATCATTATGCCTAGGAGAATGATACCGGGTGCCTTTTGCTTTCGTTTGTTTGTTTTCTTTTTATTATCAGAGAGGTAATCTTTCTAGATTCTCAAAACTTGGGTCTCTTTGATGACTTAAATAACTATTTTAGGAATTTTATTACTTTTCTCACCTGCAAAGTTTCTCTGTGTCTTGCTGAACTCACTGTTGCTGCAATTTCCATCTGATTATAACACTGAAAAGTTCTCAAGGAAGAAGTTTCCAGGTTTCATTTTGGGCCCTACTCTAGTGTCCATAGCTCCAAGCATTGAGAGTACCTGGCTGAAATCAACTTTGCTTTCTATGGGTACGACCTCTTTCTTCAGAAGCTGTAGAAGAAACTTGTTAAGATAAACTGCAGCAAGATATATTGAGGTCAGCTATGAGGCAGGATGTACACACTTGAGTGATGCAAGGTCAAATTAACTGGGAGGCTCAAGATAGATGGAGAGCCACCGTCAGGACCGGATTTCAGGGTTCACATCTCAAAGACGGATAGATGGATGTGTTGACCTCTCAGTGACCTACATAATATTGGGGGCTTCATGATCCTCCAACACCCCTTACCCCAGTGGTAGCAGGCAGAGCCTGTTACCACCTACATGAGTTTTGGGGTAGATGGAGGAGTGGAAAGATCCTCCACCCTGGGGTTTTCCCATCCCCCTTCTGTGCCACTGAGCTCACCAGTGGGTGGAAGAGAAAGGGTGGGTCCCCAGGGCAGTGCAAGGCCAAGAGGAGAGTTCCACAGAATTGATTTGACAAGACTGTGAGCATTTACAGGAGATATCCAGGGACGTACTAGTTCCTCTGTATACCACAAGTGGTCCTGAGTAGAGAGCTAAGGAGACTTTCTAGATGTTGCAGGGCAGTACCTAGGATGGGAGGTTGGAGGTAGGAACCTTCAACTTGTGTGCCCAAGTATCAGACTCAACAGTGTTCAGCTGAGTGATTAGAGATAAAGATCTTGTATGATTCTCTTGCAGCATGAAGTGTTAGGAGGAGGAAGGGAAGTCAGATTTATTGTCTGTCTCTACTTAGACTATTATCAGAAATAACAAGCTGAAGATATAGCAGGAGGGATAGAGAGCAATCTAACATATGAGTTATTCACATGCACGCCAGGGTGTTTAGAAACCATATATAGCCATACTAACAACATGTCCTCATAACTCTTGGGTTTTTGAAAATTAAGATGGAACCCTGCGATTCAGCATTATGTAGTGAACATGAAGGTCCAACCATCATTTTCAGTTCAATGTTTATGGTTCAGCATTATGTAGCGAACATGAAGGCCCAATTGTCATTTTCAGTTCAATGTGTATGATTTGGATTCTAGTAGAGAATTAAAAGGAGGTCTCGTCTCAGCCGATACTGTGACTTACAAGGTTCCTTCTGGGCTACAGTAAGGGGAAAAGATCACACATTTATTTCCACCTGCAAACTGACAACTGTTCTCTTTTCCACCTAAGGAACAAGACCAAAGTGGATATTCCAGTACCCACAGTACTAGGTACCCTACCACACACAGGCCTGAGGCAGAGTGACCTAAACACAGATTCTAGATTAAGAAAAGAGTTCAGTCAAATAAGCAGAGGGATGAGGACAAGAAGATTGTGTGCAGATATTGAAAAGGAAAAGCAGGAAAGAAGAAAATGAGTATATGCAGGACAGAGCTTATTACCAAGGAGATAAAACTGAAGAATTAAAGATACAAATTCACAGAGCTAACTCAATGGTTGAGAAATCTGCTCATTCTTCCTACTTTCTCTTGATGAAACCATCTACAAATCAGCTCAGATAAACTGCTGTTTCTTATTCTTGATGTCTTTATTGCCCATTCAAATGAAGATATTTGATGTCTCCCTACATTGAGAATATGGGATTTTTTTCCAAATACACAACTTTAGTATTTCCTGTAGCATTATACAAGCCTTTCTTAAAATTCATATCCTGAAAGTGGAAGTAAGAAAGAAAGGGAAGGAGAGGAAAAAGGTCTTAGATGATCTTCTTTCAGTATTTATTCAGCTACACTTATATGTGGGAGAAAGAGTATGAAAAGGGAGGGAAATAGGAGTTCCATTGATAAATGGGCATTTTTTGTTTCTATTATTTACCAAATAACATCTCCCCTTTTCCCTGAGCAGACTGAACTGCTCCTTGGACAACAGAAGTCTCAGAATGCTCAAATATTCTCTGGGAAATTCTTGTTCTGATGATCTTCCAACCTGAGTGACATTAAAGAGGGTTAGGAGCTAGAAGACAGTTCTTATCTATGAAGGAATGTGTGAATTTGTTGCAGATTAGGGTATGTCAAATGGGGGATAATTCCCCTGGGTTGAGGTGGAATTTGCCCAGTTCAGAAACAGAGAAATGTTAGCTGCTCTGGGATTTCCCACAGCTCTTTGCGATGGTAATGATGTATATCTTGGCTGTGGATGCAGAAGGTCTTATGGGCCACATCATGGAAACCCCATTTCCTTCTTCTCTCCTCCCACACTGGTTCTCACTCTCAGTCTCAACTTACAGGCACTGCTTGGCGCATAGGCACAAAACAGACAGAAGAGAAGAGAAGTCTGTCTCATACATATCCCCCAGAGCACTAAAGACAAACCTAGGACTGGGCCTTGGAAACCAAGTGTGGCAGGAGGAAGGCTGTACGATATAAAGGAAGAAAGCATGCATCTGGAACTCAGAACTTGTGAGTTTGGTCCCCATTTAAAACCACTAATATTCTTTGTGACTCCAGACAAGCCTGCTTCTCTGTCTCTCTTTCTCTTTCTCTCTCTCCTCTCTCTCTCTCTCTCTTTCTCCCTCCTCTCTCTCTTGTTTCCTCAACTACAAAATGAGTGACCAGGATTAGATAATCTCTCTGGTCCCTTGGAGAATTAGGTAAGAAAGAAAGACTTTTCATTGTTTACTTTTTATCTCTGCTTACCACATATTTAAAAAATCTTTTTCACCATCTTAGTTTTATACTGTCAGCTGTACCCTGCTGTTCACACCTTCTTCCTTCCTTCTTTCCTTCCTTATTCCTCAAGATGTTTCAACTTTAGTGAACATCTTAGACTGAGGGCAGATTCATAATCATATCTATCAATTATTAAGCACCACCTTTATACATCAGGGACTTAATATATGTTATCTGATTACAGCTGCCAGTCACCCAACTAATTTGGCACAGTATCTATTTTGCACATGAAGAAAATTAGGTATAGGCTAGGTGCGGTGGCTCACACCTATAATTCCAGCATTTGGGGAGGCAAAGGTGGGAGGATTGCTTGAGGTCAGGTGTTCAAGACCAGCCTGGGTAACACAGCAAGACAAAAGAAAAAGAAAAAGAAACTTAGGTATAGAAGGAAAGATAGTGTTACCAAGGACAAATACGCAGGAAGTAGACAGAACTATGATTCCAAATTAGGCTAACTCTGATTCCAAGGCCCAAACTCTTTCTACAGTTTTCCTTTTCTTTAATTTCTAAATAACACTCTGAACTTTAAAGTAAAAGAAGCTTTGGTTTTCCTTACTGAGCCCCTTGAAAATTTCCCAATAGTGAAGTATCTGTAAGCAGAGCTGGTATTTGTCAGGTGCAAATTGGTAGGCTAATAGTTGCTAAAATATTAAAATATGTCTATAACAAATAATGGTAATTATCCATTTTCCCAAGCCCTCTGAGTACCTGTCACCAGCCCAGCTATCCCAGCTCTTTCCTCAAGACTCCCCAGACAGGCCCCATGTACTGAGTGGGGCCCCACCACAGGGCTGTGACAGTATCAGCTCTCATTGCTCTGTGGTGCCCCAAACCATTATGAAATATTCTGAATGCCACAACAATCTGAAAGTAATGTGGAATTCCAGGCAGATTCTCTCCTCCCAACTGGAAGTTAGTGGGACCCTTGCCAAAAAAACCACTCTGTAAGCCTGAGGAAGGCTAAACTGCTTCATAATCACCTCGCTGGAGTCAGAAAGGAAACTATTCTAATAACACAAACAAAGCAACACTTCCCGCACTAAGACTGTCACAGAACCAAATATAAATTACCTTGTGTTCATGCTGCCTTTTCTCTACTAGACTATAAGATGGAGAGCTTGCATAGCATGCGAAATGGAGAATTTACTAAAACTACTTCTCCTTTTTTTTAAATCCCAAATTACATTGGATGGTGACATTGGGCCATTTTCTTATTGTAATGTCAGCAGAAAAACTATATAACATGGAGTCAGACCAACTTGAGTTTCAATCTCAGCACTACAGGGACGTGACCTTGGACAAGTAACATATCTCCATGAGTGTCAGGTAACAGTGATTAGCTCTAAAGTGGTTGTCAGGATTCAGTTAAGCAGTTTACAGGAAAGTTTTATGGATACATATACAGTCCTCTCTACATATCAGTTATTATGAGTACCTACCTTTGACTTGCCCATGTCAATATGTAGTGAATCCCAGACTGCTTCCCTTGGAAAACAGAGACTAGAAATAGGTGATATTCTTCACGTCATAATTATGACATACCTCTACAGGCTTTCTGCTGCTGCTACAGTTACTGCCTCTAATAATAATTTTTGTTGGAAGATACTCATTTCACAGCTCTTAACTCCCTAATCTTAAACCAGTAGAGGATATTTCTCCTGTCTAACCTCAATCCTATCTGCTACAATTTCTGCTTTTAACTGTAGCATCCTCAGGACAAGAATTCTGTCTTACTCCACTTGGCTGTAACAGGATTTCAGAACTCTTGACAGATTGTGGAGAAGGATTTATGGAATGAACCTCTAAAGAAATGTAGAAAAGAGGAAAGAACAAAAGGCTGGAAATGGTAGCAGAGGGGAGAAATAAGGTTTGGGCTGATTCAGGCAAGAAGCAATAGTACCAGTGTGGGAATTTCTTAAGTTTCGTGGGAAAAGTGGAGAACAGATATCTGCAGGCTTTATATTTCTATCCTCACAGAGAAGACCAAATGTGATCATATACGATAAGCCAGCATCAAGAGAGATGACAGATGAACTCCAGAAGGAAATTTTGATGAAGAAATGAATAAAAACTTGAAAGACTGGCAAATATATTTTTTTTAAAATAGGAGAATTTGGTAGCTCAAGCTTCATAAATTAAGTCAGACTTGGGTGACCTTGTGTTATATCAGCAAAGGACTGGAAAGACTGTGCTCTAAGCCTTTTTCCTCTTTACTACAAGCTGTGCAAAAATGTACATTAGGATCCAAGGCCATGAGGACAGTCAGGAGCACCTGTCCTATGATGAATACTAATTGGGGATAATTTCCCAGTGCCAGGGTGATTCTTGCTCCTCTGCAGGTACAGCACTTATGGAGTGCCTTCTCTTGCAAAGTACTGTGCTATGTTCTATGATGGGTTTAGGGGAGAAGTTACAAGTAGTGGTAAATGATGACAAGAGAGGTAGCCACTTACTGTTTTGTTGCATATGGTGCAGGCATGGATGTTAGTTGCTACAGGTAGGTCAGAGAAAGGAGATGACTTAAGTAGGCCGTTAAAGGGTAGAAAGAATTTGTTTGATTAGAGAGGAAAGTGGATGAAACTATAAGCTAAAGCAAAGAAGCAGAAAAGTTCAAGCAGTGTTGACAGTCAATGAGTAGCACCTGCCTGACTCCCTATATAAGTTCCCGTATGGCCTTCATGTTCAGGCTCACCAGTTTCCTGGATCCAGTGTGAAGGCCACATGTGCAGGAGCTCCATATGTTGGTGTTAATTTGAAAGGGAATTTGGTAAATGGGAAGTAACTCCAGAGACCACTGACCCATTTCCAATTTTTTAATGGGGAAACCATGCGCATTTCAAACTCACCTAAATAAATTAATAAACATTGGTAGTGGAAGTAAATTTACACAAACGTTGAGTCCAACCAATCCGTTTCCTGGAGGATTAAACTGAAACCTTAATAAAAAACCTAACTGATATGCCATAAGTCAATTAATTGGACAAGTCAGAAAAATATCCAAATCTTCTGATTTCTAATCAGTTTTCTTTTCACTGCACCAAACTCCATTGTATTATCAGTGTACGTGTTTGAATGACTTATTTGGAGAAAACATCTTCATGTCTTTGTCTCTATTACAAGGGGCCCCAAGACCTACAAAGCTGCTATCTTGACATCTGTGTGCACTCGTTTTTTAATTCTCTCTAACACTCTCATGGCTGATGTGTTTGTCTGATAATCATTTGCTGCTTCCTGCAGATTTCCACAAAAAAAAAAAAAAAAAAACCAGTTTCTTATCTCCCAGCAGTACAACTTCCTCCTATTACCACTAACCAGACACTACCATTTCTTTTTGCCTCTTGATATTGCTGTACTTATACTAATCCTATATAACACTCCATCGACAGGTTTCTACAACTCAAGTGTTGCTGAGATTGGGAAAAAAATTATTTGTGCGATTTCCCAGTCCCCTATCATGTGTGCTAGAGTTGTGAAGATCAGCTTAGATCTACCTTGTGTCTTTTCTTTAGACTTGAGATCACTGTTACTTTTTCAAGTAGAAAAATTATTACATTCTCACCCAAATTGCCAGGAAAATGTCTGTCATTCTCAGTGAACACTTAACCTGTCTGGTCTTTTTATTGTCATACCTACAATTGCCATTTATTTGTAAGCCTTTCTTTGGAACTCTTAAGCATTAAGGATTGTTTCCATAGGCACTTTCCTTTAGGAATTAACATTAAGTAAAACTTCCGTACATAGGACATAGAGACAGGCAGTAAACAGGGACTAGTCAAGAAAATACAACTTTTGTTCTCAATTGTAGGAACTTCTAGGATAGAAACAAGTCTTAGAATAACCCTCTCTTTTCTCTCCAGCTTTCAACCCACAACATTTTTACATGCTTAGTAAGCACGTAGTTACCAGCTTATTGTTACTGTTTTGAAGTTGATCTCCCTGCATGTGTCTCTGATGACTCTGAAAGGCACTGGGCTCCTATGAGGAACGGTCACCTTCTAGACATTCACTCATTTAGACAATGGGTATTCATTAAGTTATTACAATGTGTTAGATTCTGTTTTAGGCATTAGAAACACAGTAGTAAATGACCCCAAAATTCTGTCTTCTTAGAGCTTGTATTCTAATCAGAAGAGTAAACAATAAATTGGGTAAATAAGTAAAATGTAAAGTATGTTAGTGATAATACCTAAGAAGAAAAAACTCAAGCAGAGAAAGACCTCAGTGAAAGTGATTAAGGTAGGCTGTGGAAGCCAGGCATGGCTCCATGGAGGAGGTTGGTTAAAAGCTGGACACTGCAGGGTGAGTGTGACAAAGACTGAGGAAGATGAAGAGAAAGGGGGAAGAATATGAGAAAACTGAGGTTAAAAAAAGAGGTAAGTATTTTCAGGGGATGCAGAGGAAATTACCCTATATTATTGCGATATATTTTTGAAGATGTGGGAGGAATGTAAAATAGATTCACATCACAGAGGATGTTGAAAGCCCCAACCTCCATTTCAATTAGTGAGATTCTGGGATTGTGCTAGGCATTGTAGGGGTTCGACTGTAAAACGGCACATCCAGAAGTTTGTAGTACCAGACGCATCAAATATTACGGCTGTAATGTTTTCATTGACAAACTGAGACCAAATAAAGGGATGAAATTTTCCAAGGTTATCCCATTTGAAGTGGCAGAATAAAGTATGGAAGCCAGATATTCCTCCCTCCCTCCGTCCCTCCTTCTCTTCCTCCTTCTCTGCCTACCCTCTTGCCCTTCTGCCTTCCTGCCCTCCTGGCTTCCTACCTTCCTTTTAGGTTCTACTACCAAAAATATTCTGTGAGCTGAAGATTCCCAGTGATTTAGGGGAGGTCCATTTCCTTTGGAAATTAAAAACAATAGGCAAGTTAGCCTTTGTGATTTTCTTGTCTGGGTTCTGGAACCAATCTATTAAATATTTCGGATCACAGGACTAGGTAAACAAACTGATCAAGGTTTTTTAGATTCTTGTCCTAAGGTCATTCTAGTGGCAGTTTCATCCTGTCTTTATCTCCTCCCGACAGCTCTGACCAGAGAATAGCAAGTCATCTCTGCTACTCTTCTTTGAGGCTTCTTTATGACACAAACTTAATTTAATGATTTAATTTTCTCTAAAAGGCACAGGCAATGGACAAACAACCAGGCACGTAGGGTTAACAAGCAAAGTCTCATAGTGCTAACTACTGTCTCACTTGGAAGAAAAATATGTCTTGGACGGACCTGAAGTGAAGGAATTTAGATCAGACAACAGTAATTATGTACTATTTTTTCCTAGGTATGTTTTGTCTGTAACAAGCAGAGGCATTAAAAACAATTTTATTGCCCTAGGAATGCATTTTATGTTCAGGATGTTCTTTTCAAAAAAGCTATTTTAGTGCCTAAATCACTGGATGCCTCACTAATGGTTTTAAGTGTTGGAGGAACAGAAGTCTCTGTAAACTGGTAGTCTTCATTTTTATTTTATTTTATTTTATTTTATTTTATTTTATTTTATTTTATTTTATTCCAATAGTTAAAAGTGTAGCTCTTAAGATGAAGTTGTTTATGGCAGCTTGAGGGAATAGGGGGATAAGACCTAGAGAGTTCCAGCCCCACTCCTACTTGCTCAGTGAGGTGGGATGCAAGTATGGCCAGCGGGGGAGAGGCAGCAGAACAGAGTATGAGCCAATGAATATTACATTAGCCTCAAGCTTTTTAAAGCTCTATTTGGACAATTGAATGATTCTTCCCCTCTGTTCCTCTTTGAATGTGTATCTAGTGCCATCATTGCGTCTCTTGGAAGAATACAGGCATGTTTAGGTAATGTTACATGAAATATGAATCTATAGGATTAGTAATTGCATTGATGAGCTGAGGAATAAATTCATAGTTAGGTAGAAGCACAGGTTGACAAATTAGAAAGTGATTATCCTGAAGGTGCTGGCTGCTAATTGGTTAAGGCAGTGTCTCCTTGCTTTTAATCACAGGGTATTTTTTTCTGAGATAAGTCACATGTGGACTCCTAATATATAAAACAGGAACATAAAAAATCAAGAGAAAAACTAAACAAACAAACCTAGAATTCCTATAGTTGGAGTGACATCTGGTTGTGGGACCTTAGAAAATCTGTTTCACCGTTGAGACCTTCAACTTTTTCATACGTCTTGATGAGGATTAAAAAATAAATGAATTTTATACATTTTAAACTTATAGATGTTTTAGTCATAATGGAAGATTCTGGTAGACAACATTCTTAAGGTTTAAAGAAAAAATGTTTTCTAATACAGTATTTCGGCTACCCTGAGAAATTGAGATTCTTTAAGTCAGAAGAGTTTTCTTAATATCCATTAAATCATGATGTCTGAAGCTTTCAAACTTACTGACTTGAAAGACTTACCCTGATATTTAGAGTTTTCAGAGCATTCCCTTTTTGCAGGAGAGACAGAAAATGAGCTAGGGATGTCCTCCCTACTCTTGAATGTGTAGAGAGACCAAGCTCCTTTGGGCAGAGACAGGAAAATTCGGGGGCAACCCTGAGCATCATGGTGGTTTCTGAGCACAGAATGAGGGAGCATCGCTGTTTTTCAACTCTTAGGACAGCATTACTGTTACGGGAGGCTCTGAAGTCTGAGCCAGGGCCATGGAGGCCTCCGTGCTGAGCCCCACATCCTGGGAGAAACGGCGGGCCTGGCTCCGTCAGAGCCGTAACTGGCAGACCCAGGTCCTAGAAGAGGAGGCTGCCGCCGCCCTGCAGGATGTCCCAGATCCTGAGCCTTCCAGCCTGGATGATGTTTTCCAAGAAGGTAAGAGATGAACATCAGACAGATGTCTATGTTGTCTAGTGGTAAAAGGTGACAGCAGGCCCAGGTCTGCAGAGTGTGAACAGGTCCCTTGTTTAGCGAGGCCCTCGTGGAGGGCTGTTTTGACTGGTTTAAATATGTTTAAGAGAAAAGCTAAAGTAATACAAAATATGAGTTATGTGAGAAAGAGACAGGCATAAGATTAGGAAAAAGGGAAAAGCACATTTTTGCATCATCCTGAGAAGCTTCTGTAAGAACCCGAGGCTGGGGGTTCTCTATGAATGCTTTGCGGTGTTTCTATTTTGTCTGTGTAACAAGACCACACACAAGCTGGATGCCTAGACTCTGGCCACAATGCTGTCACTAACAAGCTGTGTGGCCTTTGGGAAGTCCCTCACCTCTCTAAGACTTATTTGTCCAGTTGAAATAGTAGTACCTTTCCTACACTTCTCAGAGCTTCTTTGAGGTTCAAATGAGACCACAGTCATAAGAGTAAAACAAAAATTCTGATGGAAATAAATGCTTATTTGGTAGGAAGCAAAAAAGCACAAAAACAAGATTGTCTTTCTTTTTCTTTTTCTTTTTAAATGAGAAGGATCCACCCTTGTGGGAAAGGAACTCTCAAAAGACAGCAGTGGGCCTGACATCTTGGGCACTTTCCAGGTTCTTGGGAGGAAGGGAGAAAAGAAGCAGAGAGAGAGAAGAAATATCCACTATTTTTATATACGGTGTATTCCTCTCATATCTTAAAGAAAAGCTTTATGTAGAAAAAAAGATTCATGACGCAGCTTATGTAAGAATAAACTTGTGGAATGGAATTAGTTGCAGGGAGGAGGTCTGATTTCGTTCAGTTCTCACAGTGATCTAGTATCTGACTTTTCTAGGGAATCCAATCAATAAAATTGAAGACTGGCTACAGGATTGTGGGTAAGTGCTGGACAGGCAACGGGGTGGTATGTGACTGATGGTTGGATTTGCTAACAGATACAACTCCTGGAAACTCAGAGACAGGAAGATGGATTTGAATTGGGCCTAAAGATTAGAAGTAAGGTTGAGGTGGTTGTCGGAGGGGTGTTGCGGGTTTAGGGTGAACCGGTAATCATAACTGTGAATCAAGTGCAACTCGGGGCTAAGACTAAATTAGGCACCAGGTCTAGGAATAGAGGTTGTGTTTGGTCTAAAGCTAAGAGTGGATGGGGAATAGTTGGGGTGAGTTCCAGACCCCTACTCCCCCTGACTTCCCCTTTAGATTGGAGTCTTACATTGTGTAACAAAAGGAATTGGAAACCTGATCTTTCTTGCTGAAGAGCAATTCATCTGTGTTATTTATTTCTACTGCAGAACATAGGAGAAGTTTAGGGTTTATGACAGTGATTCAAAGCAGGGAAGAATTGGAGCAGGCACTTCAAGGCAGTGCATTATCTCTTTCCTCAGAGATACTTTAAATATGAGACCCCACAGCCCATCAGCCTAGACCGTTCTTAGGCTCAGTATTCCCAGACACAAAAGGAAGGATTCTGTGACCTATTTAGTCTTCTGTGTAATAATGAATTCTCAGAATGGACAACTTCTGCCTGCTCCTTATTTTCCCTCCAGGAATGTCTCAAGTTTTATACAGCCTTTAATCTAAACTCATCTACTAATTGGCATAAAGAAACCCATTCTTGCTTATTTGGTAGGAAATAAATAGCACCAAATAATCCAAGGTTGTTTATTTCACCTGTGCCCAAGAAGGCAATGCCAGGAAGGATTTATTTTGTGTTTGTTTTGTTGTTTGAAAAAAAAAAACCTATTGTTCTCATTGCTCTCATCTTATTCACAATTCATTGACTTCAAAGTCAATTAGAGGACCCACAAAATACAGGAAGAAAAGAATGGTGGTAATCAGAATGGTTGCAGGTTTGGGTGAGAAGCCTAGAATGAGAACTGTCCTAGGATTTAAAATGCTTACCAGATATGTACAGGGGAAACAGTCAGCTCAGTTAATGTCCTTATCTCATTAACTACTCTTGAGTCGTCAATTCATGTCAACAATTATTAATTACGCTTTTGCTAACTGTCTGATTATCTGAATAACCTAGAGGGGTGCCAAGTAGTTTAAAATATGCTCCTTGACTTAGAACATTTTTCATCCTAACTCAAAATAATAAATTCACAGAAATACAAGATAATAAACTCTAGAACTCATCTTTCTTCACTCATGCTCTACAAAGATAAACCCTGAACCAAAATTTATGACAAAAAGGTGGTCTGGTTAGTGAAAAGTCTCCAAGATTTGAGCCTAATTCTTGTGCTACTAAGTGTTTAACCAATCATAAGCAAATAAATTCTGTTCATTGTAGACACCCGAGCTATAAAGTGGGACACTTAGAATAATACAGTCTAAGGGCTCTCTTGAGGTTTAAATGAGATAATATATGTGTATGTGTTTTGTGCTTTTAATAGTGACTGGTGAGTTTTACAAAGGAGGAGTTTATACCTACCTATTATTCCACAAAATGTCTGTCTATATCTATCCATCTATCTACATCTGTTTATTTATCAGAAAAAATATGCCCAGAAATGATACATATTAACTCTTGGATGGTAATTATCTGGAAGAAGGAAAAGAATTGACTTTAGAAGTAAAATAAGACTTTAGTTATATCTTTAGTATTTAATTTTTTATTTTATATTATATATTACTGAATATTTTATTTTTTCTGAAGCAAATATGGAAAAATGTTTACATGTGTGAAAATGGAGTGACTGGAACAAGGGTATCTGTTACATTTTCATTATGTATCTGTGTTTTGAAAAGGTTTCAAATATTTAAACTTCAAAACAGCCATAAAGAGTTAATCAACATACTTGCATTTGTCTTTGGAAGGGGAATTGTTGGAGTCAGAAAATTTTCCAATTTCCTCTGTTTTCTAATTCTAAGTATGTGATACTTCTTAATTGCATGGAAAAGCTAGAAAAATTAAAGGGTGATAATGACGATGATTGATAGTGAGAGTACACTTGACTTTTGGTAATAGATAATGAAGAAGATAGAGGGAAAATGCATTCTAAATATGAGATTCTGAATTACCACAATATTCCACGCTCCAAGACCACAGAGAAAAGAGGATAAACAAGGAGCCCACATTTACTGATTATCTGTCCACTCTGTTGCCAGGTGCCCTGAGGGGCACTTTTCAAATTTTGTTCCAAGACCACATAGTTTCAATTCCTCTTTCCAAAGCCAAACATCCTCTGGTAGCAAGAGCATTTTCTTTTCTGACAAGCTCTCCAGGAGAGTACACCAACATCTCAGGCAATTTAGTGTCAATGTTTCTCGGTGCAATTGAATATAGCGGCCGGCTGTTCTGCCACCGGATCCGATCATGCATGTCTTTGCAAACTATGCCTCTCCTTTTTTCTTTCTCCTCCTAAGCTCTCGAGATTTTCTGGGACATGACTGTGTTGCTCATGAATCACCAGAGGTGGGGTTGGGAGCCCAGAAATCATCTGTGTGGGCTTCAGCTTAAATCTCTGCAGGCAGGTAGCTATGGAAACATCTAGAAGAAGCTAAAAATAGCCATATACTTCTTCCCACAATCCAACCCCTCCTCCCTACTATTTGTTTAGGAACTGGGTATACAGGAAGAGCAATATCTTGGCTCTTTCATTTGAGGCTTAAAATGATGCTAAGGAATTTTTCAGTGCAAGGGTGGGAAGAGGGGAGCAGCTATAGATCTAGTCCCTGGTCATTGATTTTATGGCCTATCCAATAACCCATGGAAGGCCTGGGACTTGAGTGATGGCCATAAAGTCTCAAATCATCGTGCTCAGTGAGAAAGCATCAATAGCTCCAGGCCCATGTCCACACTTCTGTTGAAGGTTCCACAGACTTCCCCAAGACCCATCAGGGGCTGTTCCTCATAAACAGAATAGAAATACTTGGCAGATAATAACTAAAGAAGAAAAATGTAGGATGAGCACCCAATAAAAACTTGTATCCAATGAATACAAGTGAGTTTTGCTTTGGACAAACCAGAAATTTTATCAGTGACATTTTAAATGTAAATCGTATTGAAGTTCAGCATACATATCAGTAACTTTTTTCTATAATATAAATTTTAATATAAAGTATATTGAAGTATAATATACCTACTGAAAAATAAATGAGTATTAAATATATAACTGAGGCCAGGCACATGGCTAATGCCTGTAACCCCAGCACTTTGGGAGTTCAAGGCAGGAGGAATGCTTGAGCCCAAGAGTTCAAGACCACTCTGGGCAATGTACCATTACTCCATCTCTACAAGAAAAAACAAAACAGTTTTTAAAAATTAGCCAGGCATGGCAGCACCTGTAGTCCTAGCTACTCAGGTGATTGAAGCAGGAGGCTTGCTTGGGCTTAGGAGTTCAAGGCTGCAGTGAGCTATTCTCACTGTACTCCAACCTGGGAGACAGAGTGAGACCCTGTCAACAAATAAATCATAGGCAAATAAATAAATACATAAATGGCCCAATGAATTTTCACAAAGGGAATACACCCATGAAACCTAAAGCAGAGCATTGCCAGCATTCCAAGCGCCTCCTTTCCATCCCTTCCATTCACTATCCTGCCTCCAAGGGTAACAAATACCCTGACTTGTAACATCATAGATATGTTTGGGATTATTTTGAACTTTATAGAAATAGTCATGCAACATGTACTGTTTTATGTGTGTTTCTTTTGCTTAGCATTATGTTTATGATGCTTATCCATGTATTTGCATGCAGTAGTAACTCGTTCTTATTATTGTGCAATATTAAGTTGTATAGTTATTATAAAATTGTTTAATTTTATAATACATAGAGATTTTATGTATTTATAATACATAAAATTGTTTAATTTTATAATACATAGAGATTTGGAGGCTTCTATTTCTTGGTTATCACTACTAGTATTTACTTGGGGGAGCATATACAGGCATGTCCACTGGGTACAACCTAGAAATGGAATTGTAGTCTACTTAAATTGTACCTCTAGTAATAGTAGGCCTTAGTAGTTGCACTACTGTGCAGTTACAACACAAGCATTAAATGCAGTAGTAAATTGCAATATTCTAGTACCTGACTATATTAGCTATCATGCTGTTTTTAGTAGTAATAGTAAATATTATATATAGTTACACATGTTTGTAGTATTATACCATCGCATATTTTATGTAATTATATATTAGGAAGAGAAAAATATATTTATAGTTCTAGGTGCATTATTAGAGTTACCTATTCTTAATGAGCTTGCCTATTATTTCACATTTTATAATGATCCTTTGATGTAGAACCTGCTTCTATGAATTTTCATGAGGACATATGAAAATTCAGATTTTGGTAAGCATGGTTGGCTTTTTTACTATTGAAAGGAGTTACAAGCAAAAGATATCTATATATGTAACGACTTATTTTGTAAAATTTAGGCAGAACTTGACCTACAGATATTTGGTTAGTAAGCCCATTCCCACTGTTACACACGCCATGAAGTGATACTCCAGTAGCCTGAGAGTAGTCTGGATTGCTGGAGACTGATGAAGAGAAAAGCTCCTTTAGGACCAGCACCAGTGGACGCTCTTCAGTTTCCCTGCTAACTCACGTTACTGACCCTTTTCCCTCCAACCTCCACTTGAGATTACATTTAAAGCACCATGAACAACTTCCATGTAAAAAGCTTTAGGAAAGCAAACTCTACAAAATTCACAACATGTCAGTGTTTGAAGTAGACTTAGATGATGATAATATCTAGGGATCCAAATTCCCTTACATGATATTCGAGAACAAAAGAGCCACAATGAGCCGGGACTAGCATCTAGATGTGCTGGTCCCATTTCAAAGCCCTGTCACAGATTACTTCACACACCTGTTTTTGACAGACAGAATTTCTTCCTTGTTTGTAAAACTGAGCTTTCTCTCACTACCATTTATGCTGATTTCTGTTTGTTCTTCTGGTGGAGATGGTAAATATTTGATAAGACCATGTCTGAAAATTTTAAAATATCTCTAACCAGGATACGATTTCTTCTGTTTCCTGAATGACATGATATTCAGCAATAACATGGTTCAGAGAGAAGGAAGGAAGTGTGGGTAGTTTAGGTGATCTAAAAGTTCTAAGAAAACCTAGAAATTTATGTTTGCCATTTGGAAATTATGGCATGCAAACCCCTGCTTCTATGAATGTAATTCTCCAGTTTTGCTTCAATATTCTTTCTTTCCTATTTTACCTAAAGATCGAAGAATCATTGCTAAACTGACTTTTGTCTCTTAGTCCTGTGGCCAGGACAACAGAAGCACAATCTAAAACATAGTGCGTTCCAGCCTCGGTTTCCCCAACTACTTCTGTGAATTTTTCAGTCAAGTAACCACTCTGTCTTTGTTTTCTCCAATATAAAAGCAAATTAAATACTACTGACTCTTATTGGAAAAGAATATGAACATGTATGAGCTTTTAAAAGCTCCTGGGAAAATGTAGTAAGTGACTTCAACCTATAAGACTGTTTTTGGTTTAGATACTCCGAAGAAGGACTTTCTGAGGAAGCAGGACAGTTTATCTACAGTGGTGAGTACAGGTTCTGTCCTTCTGTTGTTCTTCTACCTGGAGAGTGACATACCTGTGCGTGTGTGTATGTGAGTGTTTATGTACAGGTACATGTATAGGCATGCAAAAGAGTACCTGAGTGTTCTTAAACTGGCTGCAAAACACTGTTCGTGGTCACAAGGCTTCAGGAAATCCAGAAGAAAATGCTGGCTCAGAGCCCACAGGCTCACTAACAGTCATAGGCTATCTTCTGCTAGGGGTTGCTCAGATAACAACCACTGCTGTAGGATAAGAACTTTTATAAAGTTCTTATATATTTGATGATATGTGTTTATATGGGTGTGAGTGCACACCCCCGTGTGTTTGCTGTTTGGCAGGGGATTGTGTACATAACTATGTGATATAGGGGAGAGGTTATAGGTGAATGTATGTATGATTCTTTCTGAATCAAAAACGAATATGACTTCTGAGGTGGTATATGTACAATAATTTGACAAACATGTGGATATCTAGTATGATTATGTGGTTGTGCAAGTCTAGTCTAAGGGCATATTAAGATGTTCGTGTATGCAGGGGTGTGTGTGTGTGCATGCGTTACGTTCCATCCTTATTTTCTGTGACCCTCACCTGATTATTGGACAGGCTTCTGCAGCCATGGGACCAGCTTTGAAGATGACTTGACCCTGGGAGCAGAGGGTAAGTGGCACAGTTCTCTGAGGTTGGGATGAGAATGGGATATACATTGGATGAGTTTTGGATAGGATGGAAGTGCAAAACTTCAAAAAGAAACAGCCCATCCCTGGGGTCTTATCTATAGGGAAAGGGCAGTCTCATTATTATCTAACGTAAAATACAGAAGGCATCACATGCCCAGAAACACTTCCTCATCAGCCTATCATGACTCCTACTGGTTCATCATTGGAACTTTCCTTTGACCCCAGGACAATGACATATAAAATTACTATAACATTTGCTGCCCAGATATCTTTAAGACTGTTTTCTGTACAGAAACTCCAAACAAGTTTGTGCATTGGGTGTAAAATAGAGACGATACTTCAGGAGGAGAAGGGCATCAGTAAAGAATGAAAGCACAGCAACCTACCAGTGTCTCCTGGGACCTGTAAAGACTTGTGTAGGGGGGCAGGAACACTAGCCAGGAGGACCAAATGACTCTGTCCTTTTTAGCACAGAGGGGCTCTTGCCTAGACATCAGTCATGGGTCAGAAGTTCAGAGGCTTAAGGCCAGTTACTCTCTGGCATATCTGTCCTTATTCCAGAACTGTGTTAGGTAATCTTGAGGCCCCAAGAAGTCCAGAATTCATGGGGTCCAGCTAGTCTGTCACGGTGACAAAAGGAAACGGAGGGGACTGAGTTTTAAGTTCAGAGGGGCAACGCAGGTGATTTTCATTTTCCCTTCTAATTTGTTCTTTGCTTCTCTGTTTCTTGTCCAGCCACACTACTGGCCGCCAATGGCAAACTCTTCTCCAGGTAAGTGTTAGGTTCAGCCAGGGCAAATGATGTCTCCTTTAAAAATCAGTGAATTGGGGTAGGTCAAAGAGATTAAAATAAAGACCTAAAGATTCACATTAGAAAGTGAGACTTTCCAATGAACAACAACTACATAGACTAAAAGGTACCCATCAGGGGGTGAATAAGCCCAGCAGGGATTCCTTGAAGCCAGGGTGCAAACTGGAAATAAGATTTGTATGACATCAGCTTTGATCTCTGCAGGAGTTTCCTCGAGACAGCCAGGCCTTTCCAGCTACTTGATCTTGGCTGTAGTTTGGCTTCCAGCAGCATGACTGCAGGGACCAACAAGACTAGTTCAAGGTAGGTACTAAAGTTTGGCAGGGTGGAAGGGTGGAGAAGATGAGAAGCATAGGAGAATAGAACCAAGAGCCATGGCCTCTTTTTTCTCGGATATCTTACTGGAGCTTTTATGTACTTTTACTGCACACTTGAAAAATGTGACCATATTTGTTTCAAGAATTGTGAAAGATGCAGAGGAGTCTTCTCAGAGCTGAAAACTATGTGTAAAATATAGGTGTCTCCTCCCACTGAAACTTGTACCCAGGAGGTACAGTATTGGTACCATCACAGTTCCAAGACTCAGAGTAGATGCTCAGTAAACAATGCATTGATTAATTGACTAATTTGCTGATTGAATGAAGCAATAAAATATTAATTCATTCAGACATGCAGGCCAGGCAATGACTGTATGGAATTTGAAAAAGATGAAGCAGCACTATTCACAATAGCAAAGACGTGGAACCAACCCAAATGCCCATCAGTGATAGACTGGATAAAGAAAATGTGGTACATATACAAGAATACTAGGCAGCCATAAAAAGGAACACATTCGTGTCCTTTGCAGGGACATGGATGGAGCTGGAAGCTGGTTATCCTCAGCAAACTAACACAGGAACAGAAAACCAAACACCACATGTTTTCACGTCTAAGTAGGAGCTGAATAATGAGAACACATGGACACAGGGAGGGGAACAACACACACTGGGACCTGTCGGGGGGTTGGGTGAGAAGAGGGAGATCATTAGGAAAAATAGCTAACGCATGCTGGGCTTAATACCTAGGTGATGGGTTGATAGGTGCGGCAAACCACCATGGCACACGTTTACCTATGTAACAAACCTGCACATCCTGCACATGTACCCCAGAACTTAAATAAAAATAAAAATAAAAATAAAAAGATGAAGCAGACAAATAGCTTGACCCCAAGAGCTGAATGATTTAATAGGGTGGGCAAAATATACACACAAATAACTCTTTAAAAAAGATGAAAAGTCTGGAAAACTAGTATGATACAATGAAATGTATCTGAAATTTGAAGTCAAAATTTGAATTTGAGACCTGGTTCTGAGACTTAAATTTTGTCACATGACCAGGTTTAGTAATTTATCCTCACTGAGCCTTAGTCCTAGTTCATACCCTAGTTCAATTTAATCAGAATGTCTGGAGATGGGATTCAAATATATGCATTTTTAAAGCCTGCAAAAGTGGCCGTTACATGTAGCCATGGTTGAGAAGCACTGATCCAGTTTTACGCCCACAATTCACAGAAAGGGAAACTTAGGACCATGAAGATAAAAGCTGGCAAGCACAAGAGTAGATCCAGGGATTCTGACTGTCCAGCTATTAGCTAAACAAGATGTTCCCTATTTGATCAAAAAGCCCAGAATACTTTCTGAAGAGAGTGATAGTGATTATTCAAAGCGTCAAATAACAATAGCTTCCCTTAGCTCACTGTTTGAAACACAATTACTAAGCTCTAGTGTCACCTGGGTTGGTGGAACTCCGATTTAGACGTAAATCCAGGTTGATACGATACAGGGAGAGTGCATGCACGCGATTTTCTGTGACACAGGACTTCTGTACCGAAAACAGGCTAGAAAGGAGCATACCTCTCAAAATCAGGTTTTGGATGTACTTATTGATTACTTTTTGCCCTGAGGTCAGGAATAAAAATGTTGACCTTCAGGGGTTCTATGTTTCTTACACATTCATTGCTTAGGCGTCCCACACAAAAACCACTGGGGCAAGTCGGATGGCAAATTTGGGAACTGAGCACTTAATGATTCAGCCGTGAAATTTATTTGTATCTATACTGCTCTTCATTTTTCAAAATCTTTTCATATTTACTTAAATTTTTATCCATCTGCAATAAGTTGTTCAAAGTACTGTTCTAAAATTTTATTCAGTTTTTATACCTAGGGTTGGATTGTAGTTTCCCTGTTTCAGACAGGTAATTTAGATTCAGAGAAGTGAAAGCTTTTCTCAAAGTCACAGTGAAAAGCAGAGAAATGAACAGAAAAGAATTTCAGTCTTCTGACACTTTTGTTAGATATTCTGATGTTCTGAATTAACGTATGTCTCAAAATTGTCCCTTATTTACCCAAACTCCCTCATTTCAGCATCTCAGAGATTCTCGACAAAGTGCAAGAAGATGCAGAAGATGTCCTCTTCAGTCTGGGCTTTTGCCAAGAGGATCACAAAGACACTTCTCGGATACCCGCCCGATTTTTCACCACCCCCTCTCAGGCCAAGGGCATTGATTTCCAGCTCTTCCTGAAGTCCCAGGTGCGGAGGATTGAAATGGAAGACCCCTGCCTCATGCTGGCCAGTGAGTATCCCTCCCAGACACCTGCTCTATTTCCCTTACCCTTTAGATTTTCACAGCAGGACTCAGTGACTTCAAATCCTGCTTTCCCTTGGTTAGCTTTGACCCTTTGCCTATTGTGTCTGTTTCCTCTTATGTTGTCTTCATTGAAGATGGAGAACGCTGTCTGATTCTTTCTCTTAAAGAAATAGCCTCCAAGAGACTTCAGGCCATTACTGCTTCCTTTAGGCCTTCTTGCCTTTTGGTGAATCGTATCAGCATGATGTCTATAAATCTTATCCCTCTTTTTTATTTCCCAGTTGGAATATCTACATGGGATGGAGTGTCAAGAAATCATGAAATTCAAGAAAAAGAACCCTGGGTGTTAGAAATCTAAAAGGCAGAAACACTAGTAGGAAAATTGGAAGCTTCTCCTTGAATTTTGAGCTTTGGGGAGCCTTCTGCAGGGAATGATTTAAGAAAATTTGCTGATGAACCCCAGACTCACCATCTTTAACTCTTTTACCCAGGCAGGTTTAAGCAGGTGCAAACACTGGCTGTCACAGCTGATGCCTTCTTCTGTCTCTACTCCTACGTGTCTAAGACACCCGTCCAAAAGTTCACACCATCCCACATGTTCTGGAATTGCAACCATCCAACTGATGTGCCATCCATCAGGATTGTGTCCCGAGAGCCTGAACCCCACTCACCCAGAGACCGCCTTCGGAAAGCCATCTCCAAGATGTGTCTGTACACATGCCCCCGAGATCGGCCACCACCACCCCACAACACCCCCAGAAAGAACAGTTTGGACCAAGTTGTGTTGGAAGTGATGGACAAAGTGAAAGAAGAGAAGCAGGTCCTCCAGCAAGACTCTGATTTGGGACAATTCTCACAGGAAGATCCTGTGCCCCCTGTTGAGGGTGAAAAGCTGCCCACTTCTCCTTATCAATGTGTCCTCTGCTGCAAAGAGGAAACACAGCAGGGGATGTCCACAGTGCTAGCACCATCGCAAACTCTGGATTCGAACCCCAAGGTACCCTGTTGCACACATTCTCTGCCCATAGAAGATCCACAGTGGAGCACAGACCCCGCTCAGATAAGGAGAGAGCTGTGTAGTCTACCAGCCACCAATACGGAAACCCATCCAGCCAAGGATGAGACTTTCTGGAAAAGAAAGAGCAGAGCAAGAAAGAGCCTGTTCCAGAAGAATCTCATGGGCAGGAAGGTTAAGTCCTTGGACCTGTCCATCACCCAGCAGAAATGGAAGCAGAGTGTAGACAGACCAGAACTGCGTCGGTCTTTAAGCCAGCAGCCACAGGACACTTTTGACTTGGAGGTAAGGGGTTGGAGGTGAGGGAGGGACTGGCAGAGAAAGGCTGTAGATTCTTTCCCAGAAGATGAAGGGTTAGGACCCTTGGGGGAAAAAAAATCCAGGCTTCCTGTCCTAGCCAGATATATACTTTCTGATTTGAATTCAGGTTTAATATACAGGGAGAAAGAGAAAGAGGCCTGGTTTCCTAAGAGCAGTCAAGTTTTCAGAGCTCCTTTGGTAATACTTACCTGATCTGATTGCCATTTAATGTTCTCATTAAGTACACCTGTCATTACCATTTGCTGTGGTCCTCATAAGATTACAAATGGAGAGCAGTTTTACACAAAGCTAACCACTCTTAAATAAAATAAATTCTCCCTTACCTTGACAAATATCTAACCATAAAGACCTAGAAGTCCAGATTTCAATCTAGGATTCTCAGACTCTTAGGACTTCTGTGCTAGAACGTGACAGTGTGAGCAGAACCACTCCCCAGCTCCTGACCTGTCCCCTTCTCTTCCCATGCCCAGACCTGTCCTATACCATCAGGGACCTTGCATGCCCATGTTTGGTCACCTGAGCCTGCACATCCAAATGCCACAAGCTCCCACCTACACAAACAGCCATCAGTCATCATTTGGGCCTAGGTTGCATACAATACTGGAGAGGTCAGCCCTTGAGAGAACAGTCGTCAGTCAAAACCAGCGCACATTCCTGCAACCGGCTTGGGGCCATTTGACCAGCAAACCTTGTGATTCTGAGTAACCAAAGAACGTTCTAAAACAAATAGTGCAGGACACATGGGCACATTCTCTAAGTCCACCAACTCTTCTGACCCTCTAAAACTCAGAACTCCTCTTGCCTGGGTCTATGGAAGGTACTTCCATGAGGTATTGGGATCTCTTTAAAAAGCTTTTTAATCTTTGCCACAAAAGAAGCCGTGATTATTTGAAATATCATTTGCATGTATGTCACCTCTCCTTGAATGTAGAGCCACACCTCAGCTCCTGCCTTCCTCATTACTGTGTCCCTGACACCACAGAAGAGGGTGTCTCTCAAATACACTCAGCCTCCTTCCCCTACAGCTACCTGCCACCTGCACCTTTCCTTACCCCCTTTCCCCCTTGGCTCTGGCTGAGTTCTGTGGGATCTTGGTTACAGGTGCAAAGCAACAGTGAAGAGGAGGAGAGTCAGAGTCGCTGGCCCAGCAGACAGAGGCACCCGCCCCACCACCAGACTTTTGCTGGCAAAGACTCGTGAAGTAAGTGGGCCTCTCTCAGGCAGTTCTCAAACCTGGCTGCACATTGTAATCAAATGAGGAAGGTTTTAAAAAAAAATACCCATAATAAAGGGTCCCACATCCTGTGGTTCTGATTTAATTGGAAACAAATGACTAATTATTTTAAGCTTCCAGGTGATTCTATTATGGCTGGAAAATACTTCTCTAGATCAATGATGCTCAGGCTTTGGCAGCCACCACAATCACATGGAGGGCTTGTTAAAATACAAATGACTGGATCCCAACTCCCAGAGTGTCTGATTGAGTTGGCCTGGATAGAACCAAAGAATTTGCATTTCTAAGAGATTCTCAGGTGATGCTATTGCTGCTGGTCTGGTAATCACAGTCTGAGAAATGCTGTTCCTGAGACATTGTGTAGAACTTTAATATTCAAAATGTAGTCTACAGATACAAGCAGCATCAGCATCCCCTGGGATTCTGTTAGAAATGTGGACTGTCAGCCCCTACCCCAGACCTAATGAATCACAGGTTTACCAAGATCTTTAGGTTAGATAATTCATTGCATATTGAAGTTTGAAACGCATTGTAGTAGAAGTTTTGTAACAGGTGAGGACCAGCCATGGCAATCAATATCCCAACACCTGCTTTCAGCTATGTTCTAATCAGCCCACATCATTGGACTCGGCAGACTCCTCAATGTACCTCCCAGTTATGCTCATTTAGGGTCTGGTCTCCTTTCTGCAACTATGGTCTGATGAGCATAGCTCTCCCTCCCCTTGTCAAAGCAGGAAATGAATTTCACACTGTTATTTATTGCAGCTAAAATTTCTTTCCTCCAGATATGAGTTTTTCAGTATTAATTTTCTTTCAGAGGTATCTCTTATACCTTTAAATAGTTTGGCCAGTAATTTATTATTTAAACTAATGAAAATTAGTCTTCCTGTAGTTTTAACCACCCATCTACTACAACCACAAAGAAAATGACATAAGGGATAATGGTATTTTCCCCAGATAGTATAAATTAAAATCTTTATTGAATTAAGTAAATAAATCTTGCTTAGAGATTCCTTTGTTTTGGATATCTGGGTACCATTTTCTGCATTTTCTAGTCCAATTGTTTTCTTGGTTAATACTCCAAAATATCAGTGGTACTTGCTCAGACACACAAATATATTTACAACTCTAACTGTTTTAATTCTAATTCTCTGTGGTTTTAGGAATCTAAAACTCTTCTTTCTCTCTTACCTACTACCAACATCTCAGGGTATATGAATCATATGTATATACTTAGTCACCCACAAAAGAGGTAAATAGCAGAAGGCATCAATATGTCATGTGCACTTCAGGAAGTTTCAGATGGTTTCAGTTGCTGGTTTGGCACGTCAGGAGTTGGAAGTGGCCACTCTGCCCAAACAATAAGTAAAAAGCTGAACAGACTGAAAAATTAGTAACCGTTCTAGACCCATCAGAGAAGTGGGTCACAGGGCAAACCACTTCCCCTCAAATTAGAGAATGGGCAAATACAAAGATTTATGACTTATCGGAGCAAAAACCGCAAAGCATAAACTCCCCCAGCAATCAGAACCACAGTAGAGAACCCGGACAATAACCGAGGAATTACCGGATGCTCAGCATGGACCAGTCTGAGAAATAAAAACTCTAGGGAGACCCAGTCATTGGGAGGCCTTATTTCTGGGAGTCTTACTTCTAGGAGCTCAACCAGGTTCTCACAGGAAATACTGGAGAAAAATCCCCTAGTGTTTCCGACAGGGGACGGGAGAAAGGAACCATTTTGAAATGCACCAGAGCATTCTATTCCTCTTAACAAAGTCTTCCCTCGGGAGAAACTAGATACCAAAAACCTAACCGGATGAGGTTTTATCAGAGACTAACCGACCTGAAGGAAGGGAAACATGCAACTCCAGCCTACTCTAGCCAACCCGTCCCATCAAAGGGGACAGAGAGGACTGAGAAGCACAGATGAGAGTCACAATCCAGAGGCACAGGCTCACTGGAAGACTCAGACCTAACCCTAAGACCATGGAACACTTCCTTTCTCCCTAAACCTTACCACCACATTACTAAAAGCCTATTTACATCAATTTCTTTTACTCAGTACATCGTGTCTAGTTATTTAAAAAAAAAAAAAGACATAGTAAAAGGCAAAAACAGGTTGAAGAAACAGAGAAAACATTAAAACCAGCCTCAGATATGACAGGGATGTTAGGATTAGCAAACTGGAAATTTAAAACAACTCAAATGATAAGGGTTCTAATGGATAAAGTAGTCTGTGTGTAAGAACAGATGAGCAGAGAGATGCAAATCCTTAGAATAAAAAATAAATGCTAGAGATAAAAAAATGGTGTCACAGAAATGAAGAATGCCTTTGATGGGCTTATTGGTGGACTGGACATGGCTGAGGAAAGAATCTCTGAGCTTGAGACTATAGCTATAAAAACCACCAAAACTTAAAAGCTAAGAGAAGAAGACTGAAAAAAAATAGAAGAGAATATCCAAGAAAGGGGACAGTTACAAAAGGTGTAACATATGCATAATGGAAATTCCAGAAGGAGAAGAAAGAGAGAAAGGAATAAAAGAAATATTTGAAACAATAACAATTGAGAATTTCCCCCAAATGAATGTCAGATACCAAACCACAGATCCAGAAAGCTCAGAGAACACTGAAAAGAATAAACACAAAAAAAAAAAAAAAACCAAAAAATCTACACCCTAAGCATGTAACTTTTAAACTACAGAAATCAAAAATAAAGGGAAAAATCATAAAAGAAGACAGAAGGAAAAAACTTACCTATAAAAGAAGAAAGATAAAAATTACATGCAAATTCTTCTCAGAAAATGTGTAGTGTATACTCACTCCACAAGTAGGTTCTTGCCAAGAACTGAATATACTCTAAAATGCAGCACTTTGCTTTAAGTGTCCGTTTGTCCAGCAGATGTCAGCGCTTGCACCAAGAAAAATGCCAGGATGTTCACAAAGCAGGCTGTGTGCAGGATTTTATGGGTTATACACTTCTGGGCAATCTATGCAACGGCCCAGCACAACGCAAGTTCCTCTCACAAACCTGTCCCCACACTTTGGTCCTACAAGTAGTATTTAAAAATATCAGAATTGAATTGCTAGGGGAGAAAGTATTGCTAGAGTCACACATTTCCAGTACCATAACTAATGATTCCATCTTTCGTGCCTGTTGGGGCTTCATTACAGCATCTTAAAGCCATTACCTGTATGGTTTAAAATGCTGGCTCATCTCTTATTGATTCCCCTGAAGGCACACCATTTTTCCCAACATTTTAACATCTCTGAAATTTAGGTTGGCCTAAAATCAATAGTGTCAGCCAATTTAAGTTGTCTTTCTTTGCCTACCTTAAGTGAAAATTTAAACTAACTTCACCGAGTCTTACAAAAGATCCAGTTATCATCCCTCACGAAATACAACTCAAATTCTAATTACAATACACTTTTCCTTTTTTCCTCTCCGTAACCTAGGAAAATATTTTGTAAGAATTTTTTTCTATAATTCCCTAAGAAAAACTACAGCAGATCCTCTTCCTTTCCTCCGACCCCCGCGTTTTGGCTGACGCGAAGGGTCCCCCACGTATCCCCCCAAATTTTTCCAATGTCCTGTGCAATTTGTTGTAACCATCCTTTTCACAAAAGCTATAACTATTTTCTCTCTCCCTCCTTATTACCCCTTTAAGAAATCCTCAAGAAGCAGGGGAGAGCTATAGCAACAGCTCAGTACTGCCAACTCTTAAAAGCCTGTGTGATAAATATTGGACAGGCGGACGTTCACTCACCACAATCAAAAGTCAGAGCTAACTGGTGATCATTCTTTTCAGTTCTGCCTGGGAATCCGTCCGCACTCTCTCCTTGTTCCCAGCAGTCCTGTATCTATTTCCTGGAGAATTAATGCGATCTTCCACACTTATAATGGCGTCCTTCCAAGTCCCACCGGTATGTAACCTAACTACGTTGTTAGTAGTGGATAGGAAGTGCGTATCACGCACTCAGCCAGCCACCGTCCGTGGCATTAGCTGCAAGCCGTGCATTGCCCAGAGACACCCAGCTGAGCAGGCAAATGGGAATTAGAATCCCGCCCTACTGAGCTTGCCATCCAAAAACTCTAGGGCTTTCATCTTCTAAGAGCGAGTTCCAATTTTTTCTAATTCATTCACATAAGGTGAGTGCCTTTCTGTAATTAGCACAAGGGCACTGCTGTGGTTTGAATGAATCCTGCAAAGTTGATATATTGGAACCTCAATCCCCAATGCAGTGCTGAGAGGTCAAACCTTTGAAAGGTGATTAGGTCATGAGGGCTCTGTCCTCATAAATGGATTAATGTCACTATTAATCCATGTGGGAGAGGATTTGTTATCTCAAGTGAGCTTTTTATAAAACCAAGTTTGGCTGTGTCTTGTTTCTTGCTCTCTCGTGCTCTTCCCCCTCCATCTTCCACCATAGGGTGATGCTACAAGGAGGCCCTCACCAGATGCGGGCTTTTAACCTTGGATTTGCCAGCTTCCAGAATTGTAAGAAATAAATTTCTCTCCTTTACAAATTGCCATATCTGTAGTATTGTTATGGCAACATGAAATGAAGTCAAACAGGCACCTTTTCTATTGAAAGAGGACCTTGACTCCCAGCCAACAGCTTTCTTCACTTGCCACCTTCTCATTTAGTGTTTGCTTGGAAAGAGGTTTTGATCTTCCTCCAAGTTCCTGAGGAAGGATGACCCACACCTTTCCTCAAGATTTCCACCATGCTCAAAAATGTCAAATTCACAGCCCTTTCTATTTGTTTCCTGTGTTGACATTTAAACCACTTGACCTTTATCATGCTTATAAGAGGCAGAGCCAAGGAGAAAGTTTTTATATTTTATTGTTCTTTTTGTTTCTTTTACCAGATCTGAGGTAGCACAGGCCAATATTTATTCTCTTTGTGAAGTGACCATATCTAGAGGTGGAAGTTCATTTTTTTGGTCAACCCTGCTGGTGGCAGC